CTTATGCTTATGTGCTTTTTGGGTTCCTAATTGTCAACTTGTGGCTGTGGCCTTTTGAACAGATTTCTTGGCCATCTTGCCCGTGCTCGTGCTGAAGTGGGAGCTGCAACGTTTGGGTGTCAGGGACGAACCTCCACAAGCCGGGCCACATCAAGAGATTTTGTTGTCGGTGCTCAAGCCTCTGCACCCTTGGCCATAATCCAAACACATTTCATCATACTGTACATGTAGATCTCCGGTTCGGAACTCTCGTGCTTCAAAATTTAACTTTCAACCGGTTGGCATGAAGCTGAGGCTGAAACCTGTAGGTATTGAACAATAGGTTGCGGTGTATCAGTGTCAATAAGTACCGACGCCTGCTTCGCTTGTTGCCTAAGTTCTGCTCCACGTCAGCTGCCGACCGTGCCCTGCTTCTGCTTCAGCGTTTGGTGCCCAAACCCAGTAGCCTGCACAAGACGTGCGGGTGCCTGGAGCAGCCGGGCATCATAAAGCGACGGGACACGGAGCTTCAAGCTTGCCTGTGTTATGTTTAGGATTTAGGGTTTAGGGTTTATAAAGGGTTTAGGGTTTAAGGGGCGACAACAATTGAACATCAGCAGTTCAACCTGTATGACATAGGGGTAAGCGCATTGCATAAACCCGAACCCCCCAACAAAAAAGCACGTAGGGCTTCGGTGGCCGTTCTGGCCTTCCACCGAGAGCTCTCAAGCCGAGATCGTGCCAAGCCCCTCTTGAGCCCCAAACCCTAAGCCCTAAACCTTAAACCCTGAACCCCAAACCCTATAAACCCCAAGCCCTAAGCCCTGAACCCCGAACCCCATAAGCCCTAAGCCCTAAACTAAGCCCTCAAAGCTGGACCCCAAACCCTTAAACCCTAAGCCTAAACCCCCAAGCCCCTGCGAAAGCCCTTGCTCGAGATCGTGCGAGCCATGCAGCGCGAGTCATGGAAGCCGCTTGCGCCTGGGAAGGATGCGCGGCGCTGAATCACAGAGTCATGTGGGGCAGCAGGGCTTTCCACATGACTCTAGGGTCAGGGTTTGGGGTTCTTGAGTCTATGTGTTATTTAATGCTGCTGCTGCTTTTTGAATTTGGCTTCTGGATTCGATCTCAACAAGCTAAAACCAGAGCCGAGAGTCTCGTTTTGGGTACCAGAGTTTTACTCACGAAAAATGTGGGTCAGAGTGAAGGTTTGGGGTTGTAAGATTCTGGTTCTGGCAAGTTATGGTCATTGCTGGAGGGATTTAG